TTTATCAGGAATTCAAAGTTTTAAATAACTGTGCGCTGTTTATTTTCAAATATTTTTTGAAAATTTTTCAAATATCTTTTAAAAGACAATGCAAACTTTCTAATTAATTAGAAGGTTTGCATTGTCTTTTAAAAGATTATCTTTTAACTAAACTTATTTACTATCTTCTCATACGCCATCTATAAGAAAAAAGTAAATAATTACTGTAGATTTTTGAAAAGTTAGCAGTAGTGCAGCAGATTAGCATTAAAAATGACTAAATTATGCACAAGTGGATAAAAGCATGAAATTTTCAACAACAACTCAAACACCTAAACAAGAAAATTTTTATGATTATTTTAAGATATGGTGGTAAACCATAGCATGGCCAGAACAGGCTTAAATCCATGATGGCAGTTACCGCCATCTTGGGTTTCTAAAAATATAATTTTAAAAATTATAAATTTTAAACTGTTTAACTAATCTTCGCCAAAATCTTAGGAATGGTAGATCATAGGAAGTATACATTGACCGCAGATGCACAAATGAGGAAGGAGAAAGCTTGGGCACGGCCCTCTTGCCCAAAAAAATATATGTATAAAATTTTTTTATACGTATATTTTTTAAAAACTTGCAACTCAATCAAAAATTTACAGCAGCTAAGAAACCAAAATGACTTTTAATAAGCATATTAGTTAATATTAATCTATACATTGCTGCATTTCAATCTCTGGTACACTCTCCTTGACAGCTGCAAAGAGCAGTACATTTTAAGCTGTTACAAACAGATTTACAGTGGCGTGTTGTACAACCTTTCTTACATCCGTACTGAATTAACTCAGGAAAGGATTTATTAGCTTCAGGAAGCGTGATTAATTTTGGATGCCAATCACTTCCTTCTAGGATACCACAATATCTTCACTGTCAACTTGAAATGGGTTGCTCATATCAACTAGTGTATAAACTAGGGTATTTACATCTTTTTTGAAAACTGTCTGAATACTTTCTTGTTAATGATGGTGTCTGTAATCTGCAATCTGCATTGGCCTCATGCATTCCATATTGAAATTCTTCAACGAGCCTAAATACTTTAGGTCCTGCAATCATCCAACGATGTAATGCGTGTTGCACCAACGACGTAATAGCACAACTATAATCTTTAACTGCAGTGTTGCATTATTCATGGCTTTATTCAATAGCCATTGCTGAAAGTTTTTGTACAGTTATTTTAACAGTAAATATTCCGGTGTTAAATGCAGCTAAAGTTGATGGACTGTTCTGCGAAAGACAAACCATGTCTCGAATGTGCAAAGATAACCATCGAGCATAATGAGTTCGATTAAGTGAAAAAAACCATGGTATTAGTTTTGTCAAGTTATCTAAGTATAGATTCAAATTTGAAGTACACAGAGACCTGATAAGCGTAAGCAAAATAAGCTGAACCTCTTTGACTGTACTCCAATAAGCAAACTGTGGATGAACCATTTGCTTTACGCACCAGCTAGTTAAAAGCAACGATTGAACGCCGTTGTCAAGCAAACTACAATAGGTTTTGTATGCTTTATACTGTAATACATGATTTGCAGAACAGAAATTTCATGTACATACCGACAACGTTTTATATGAGATGCAGATAAAAGAGCTTCAGCGGTGCCCAATATTACATTTCCGGCTGCATTAACAGCCTCGACTCAGCCGCTTCAGCATATAGTCTAGCTAACAACCTCGACTCAGCCGCAATCAGCATATAGTCTAGCTAGATCAGCTACTTTGAAGATGGGAGTAATACCATTTTCTGACCTTGTTTCTTCAATGTAAGTTATCAACAGAGCAAAAACAATACCATGTACACAGTCAACTTCATCGTCTACTTGCTGCGTTTCAGCACGCATGCGTCTATCAAAAGCAAGTTTTTTAATGTACAGGTCAGTGAGACACTTAGTATGATACTTAGCCTCTTCGAGCAATTAAATCTGTGTCGCTCAACTTGGTCAATAATGTAGAGTCATCCGAGGTAATAGTACACTCGCAGACTTAAATATCCAGATCCGTGGTACAGACACTGTGTAATGAGTCTTTTGACTCACTGGTAACATAAATAAAACAAACCGGTTGTGTGTAAACCAAATTTGATTTTCTCATATCACTGGACATTGATCTCCTGAATGAACTGTGCTCAACGTTAAGTGCTTTGGCTTCATTTAATGAGGATTCATTCTCTGCAGTTAGGGAAGAGCAACAAAGACGTTTAGCTACTCGATTGAGTTCAGTGGAATAGTAAAACATCCTATAGGGTATATGCCACTTAGCTTTGTTTGATATTAAAGTAATTTCAAAGCCATTGCCCTAAATATAAAAACCAGGCAGTAGCAAATCTGTCTGCACAAATTGTTGCAAGATTTTAGCAAGTGATTTGTAACCTGTCAAACGATCCGAACGCTTATAATTAGCGGGGCAAATCAACTTGTTTGCAGAGGTACTTTGGCAGAAAATACATTTTGCCCAGTCAATCGGACTAGGGCTATTGAAAACCTCATTCGCCGTAGAAATAGGTTATGCAACAATATATCGCTTGGCCATAATATATATGAATAGAGCCCTATAAATAATATATATATATATATATATATATATATATATATATATATATATATATATATATATATATATATATATATATATATATATATATATATATATATATATATATATATACATATATATATATATATATATATTATTAAGTTACTAATTCTAATTTAAAAGTTTAGTATGGAGTTAGTATGTGGTTCTAATCTAGAGTTTAGTATAGGGTTTTAATCTAGACATTTATAATTTTATAAATAGTATGGGGTTCTTATTTAGCCTACAATTATAACCTTATATAATCTAAGATGTTAATCTAATATGTAGTACGAGGCTCTAATCTAGACATTTATTTATAGTCGCCTCAAAACACATTATAAAAAATAACTACAAACTTACTTTTAATCGACAAATTTTGTTTACCTTATTTTCAAAACTTTTATTTTTTGTTTGTGATTTGATTTGTTTTTTAATCGCTTTTTTTTAATCGTTTTTTTAAAAGTGCAATATAATTGGATAAATTTATTAAAAAATTTGTTACTAAAAATTTTTTTTTTGAAAAGTGATGTAATTTTCTTTGTTTTCCTCCAGTTCATTAACCATACCTTTTTGGTAAAACTGGACGTGCCACCATATCTTAAATGCACTATATACTTATTTTCTACATCTAAAAAAAGTTTCATACTTTTATCCACTGCACTAGAATGTTAGGTTAATACTTCTATGTTTTTTTAACGTTGTATCAACGTTAACTTAACGTAAGAATATGACGCTAAAAAGATTACGTTGACTCACCCTTAAATAAACGTTAAGTAACCTAAAACGCAATTTTAACATAAATGCAACGTTAGCACAACGTCGTGTGCCTGCTAGGATGGGGATGGAAATAATAGAGTGGTGGAAATTTTAGTCCTAATCTAATAAACAGGGGGGTGGGATATAAAAAAAGAGTGGGAAAGAATTTTAAGAACACGAATAAAACAATTTAAATCTAATGTGGCTTGCGGTCAAACGCGCATTTTTTAATTGCTTTTATTTTTTTGGCTATACAAATATGAGAAATAAAGAAAAACCTATTTTTTGACAAATCGAAATTTAGGTTTTTTAAAGGGCGACAATTATTAAAGCCTAATTACAATGAAAGTTTTGTTTGTACAATGACTGATTTATATATTTTCTGATTTATTTTTTTTTAGTTTCGAGGTAAAAATTAATAAACAGGAGGAGAGTCAAGTTAAGTTTGGGTGGGTAGAAAAATTTCGAAAAAATTAATAAACATCTTTTTACTAGTATTAAGCATCTAGGAGTACACAGGTATGTGAGTTTACCCAAAATATATGAATGCATACAAAGGGTTTCAAAGACAGAGAGAATGTACAGTGTGCATTCTCTCTATCTTTGTACATTGTACACAGTTTGTCTTTCAATCTCTTTTAAAACTTGATGCCTTTTTTTTTATACATAAGCATTAATTTTCACGAAACTAAAAAAAAAAAAATTGTTATGTAACTAAAAAATCTTGAACTAACTTGAAGCTATTTTGTTTTAACGTTTTAAAGATAAAACAACGTGAGTGTTTTAAAACCAATAGGACTTATTTGGGGAGATCTTTTATTTCTAATTTTCATGTTTATTTCTAAGTAGTTTTATGTTTTTTAACTATTATTATTGTTTATTTATAATTATATTTATTTTTTATTTTCATCTTTCAAAGTTTCACAGAATGAGTGCATCAATGCATTGACTGATTTAGATGTAGTCACAGTGGAGTATACTGAGTTAAATAGGGATATACACTGTAGCAGTGATATTTTCGTACACGAGAACGAAAACGAGAACGAAAAAAAAAGCCTTTTGTTTACGAAAACGAAAACTAAAACGAAATTTATTTTAAGAACAAGAACAGAATAAAACGATAATTTTAAATTTTCGAACGGAATAAAAACTGAATCGAAAATTATTTTAAAACGAAATATTTTCGTTCTAGATTTGAAACGAGTTGAATTATTTGATATACAGGTAGATGTACCCCAAAAACCAAGGCACCTCAAAAACAACGCGGTCAGTTAAAAGGCTCTAAAAATTTAAATATGCATTTTAAAACCATATGAGAAATTTTTTCTCATAAAGGAATGTTTCAGCAACAATTAAAACAAAAGAAATCAATATTAACAATAAAGGAGTTTTTTTTACAACCGTTTTAAACTTAAAAAGTGCTGAGAAAAATAATTGAGTTTTAAGTAATATTGCTATAAAATATTGGTTTTTTAGACTAAGTTTGCAAATCCCATCTAGTTTGCTTATCTTTTATATGCTATTTACATAAATCAAACCATTTTTATTATAAGTAGAAGGGAAACTTGTAAAAAAAAGTTTAAAAATTACATTTTAACATGTGGTTTTTGGGGTGCGCTAAGAAAAAGTTAAAAAAAAAAAGTTTATCCAGAACAAGTCTTTACAACAAATTTAAAACAAATAGTTCATTCAATAAAAAAGATTTTGAATATCACAGTTATTTCTTTCTAGCAGCTGCAGATAAAATCATTTCTGGGTTTTTTCCATTTACTTTGCAGTTTGCTTTGCTGCAAATGGACCGCATTATATTGAGGCAGGTTGGACACTGCTTTAAGCCAAAAGCTTTACATTTTATCTCCTCGCAATAGCATTGAAGCTTACATGTTATAAAGAGTCTTGTAACTTCCTCTTTCTTTTTTGCAGCATTTTCTTTTTTTTCCTTTTCTTTTTCTTTTTTTCTTTTTATGCTTTCAACTAGAGTTATTACATCGCTTGCAGTCATTGATCCATGTACTTGGGTAACACGTGTTGCATCTTTTGTTAATTTTGGCTTTATCTTTTTGGTTGTCATAAAACCAGGTATTTCTTCCAGCTGAATGCTCTTTTCATGAAGTTCATCAATCAACTCCATCGCTTGTTCAAATTTTGATTTTCAATAATTTGCTGAACCACGTCTTTTATCCGGCGAAGAAATTAGTGGAGAAGTCTGTTTTTCTGGTTCAATACAGTTTTCTGCTCGTTCGAATTTGTCTTTTTGCATAAAATCAACACTCAATGCATTTTCGGCAACACCAACCCTTTTAGCAGATTTTACAAGCGTTTCTTTGGTTGTCCACTTGTCCCATATATTAGCTAAAACTAACATAAAAGCTTCTTTGTTTAAGGAACAGATATCAGAAAACATAGAGTCTTTTTGCTTACGATACTCACTATGAATGTTCTTGTTTACTTGGTCAAGAAGTTGAGTAACTCCTGTTGTGTCTGGTGGAGTAAGAAAAAGATGAATTCTTTTGGACTCCAAAAAAGATAATACATCAAAGTCTAGTCTAGAGCTATGTCCATCTGATAATAAGACGATGGGTCGCTTAACATTTTTTTCATTTAAGTAGACATCAAACTCTTTCAATGCTGCCAAGAAAGATTCATGGGTTGATACTCCATTATCTGTAGTTGTGACCAACAAATGGGGAATTTTATTTACTGCTTCTGTTGGAACCATAGAACTAGTAATACCAGTACATTTAAATATTACCTGACACATACATATGTCGCCTAAAAATAAAAAATAAAAAAGTTTTTTAATGCTTGTATTTATTTATATTCAATTTTTTCTTGAACCATAACATATTATAGCATACCTGAAAATGAAACAAATGGTTGAATTGTGACACATTCTCTGTTTTCTCTATACATTCTTTGACATGCATCTCCTTTGCCAGCATAAAATAATCCAGAAGTGGTACCATCAATTCCATAATTAATAAACTGGGGTGTTTCATCACAATTAAATATTCGGCATGTATCAACAGTGCCATTCCAAACCCCTGTTTCAATCATTTTTTCATTTATCATAATACCAACATCTACTAGTTCTTTAGCAAGGGAATCTGAAATAATGTTATTATAGGGAAATGAACAAATTAAAAAAAAAAGTACATTCAGATTTATGAATTTATATTTGTTCATTAATAACTTACCTAAATGATTACATGCCATTTCTCTTGAACAATTAAGTGCACGGTTTATCGAGACACTCCCTTGGCGTTTGATTGTAAGGCTGCTATGTTTAGCATTAAAACGAAGCCAAAATGATCGACTCAATCTATAAAATGGAATATTTACATAAAGAAAAGAGTCATATTACCCGTCTTACATACTTTTATAGGATCATTGTAGATTAAATGAATTCAATTAAACTTACTTTCCCTTTTCTAGAGCAGCTCGAGCATTTAATGATAACTTTTTAAACTTCCGTCCACCTTTTATTTTTGTATTAGTGTAATCTCTCACACGAAGCACATTAATAATTAATTTGGTTATGTCCTGTTTGTTAGTTGCCTGTAAACATCTGTTCTTATTTTTTATAAAACGCACAATAGATGCTTCTTCATCATCTGTAAGTATAGTACAATAATCTCTTTCTTTTCCATTAATCACTTTTCCATCTAATCGCCTGTTGATTGTCTCTCTATCTTTAATAAGGGGAAACAAACCTGTCTTTAATGCTGCTTGTCCCCTTCCATTAAATTTTTTGCACCAATTTATTGCAGCTTCTAACTGTTTATTTTTATCATTTGTGTGTTTTCTGGCCACTATGGCATCAGCTTTAGTACTGAGATTTCTTGATTTGTTTATACGTAGATGTAATGCAGATGATGGTTTCATTTTACTTTATAATATTATATTAAACAAAATTCTAAAACAACAAAAAACATAACATAGTTCAATGGTAGTATTTCCACAATACATTAACTTTTTTTTTTTTTTTTTTAATGATGACAAAGAGCTACTATCTTAGAGTACATCCTAAAATTTTTTTATTGAATTATTTTATATATTTTCCAAAATATTCAAATAACCAACGTGGTTTTTGGGGTGCACATGATGTGGTTTTTGTGGTACATTGAAGTACATCCTAAAAATTTAAGTTAGCAATGATACAATCATCCTAAGACTAATTTATTATAACTATCTTCTACAAAAAATTAGGTCTTAATTCCAAATAGTTTAGATTTTATAGCCAATTTTGTCAATGTTGTTTTTGGGGTGCATGAAAAAAGTGTGGTTAACTTCAACATTCTAGAAAAAGAACTCAAGCGAGACTTAAAAAACCATACCTACCAGGAAGAACCCTATTTAGGCTTATCTTTCAGAACCCATATTAACAAAATTATGATCTGTCCCTAGAAAATAAATCTAGACCCTCCTACTTTCGCGTGGCTTTTGGGGTGCAACCACCTGTATATAATTATTATATTACAATACATTATAATGATATATTATTCGAACTTAATTGAATTTTATTCAATTAAGTTCGAATAAGTTTAGTTATGATATAGTTCGAATATATTTATTCGAATATATTTTTTCGAACTAAAAAAAATCAAACTGTAAGACCAACACAACTACGCGATGAGTTTGAGTAAACTTTTTGCTGGTAGGAAGAGGAATAGTTCAGTATGGAAATGGTTTAAATACGATGCGTCATCCGACAAATCAGTATTTTTAGTTTTACTTGATGGTGAAAGAGTATGCAATACAAAGTTGTGTGGAAAGAACCCAACAAATCTTAAAGTTAGTTTAGCTGTTAGAGGATATGTTTTCATTTTGAAACAAACGACTCATTTTTATCATTTTAGAGTAATTATTCAATAACGTATACGAACTTATTTATACATTAATTGATAAACAGATAGATAAATAAACATATAAATATACAAACAAAAAATTATATAAATATGTTTATTTTTTTCTAGCTACATTTAGCAAGAAACCATAAGTCTGTACACGTTGAGCTGGAAGAGTCGGAATTAAAGAAATTAAGTGAAAAAAAGCAAACAGGGATAAAGAGAAAAGCAGTGGATGAAAATGGACCCACTCTTCAGAACCAGACCTTGATTCAATGCATTAATCGTAGGAATACCGCATGGCCTATTAATTCACACGAGCATAAAATTCGACTAAACTCTCTTATTCAAATGATAATTGCAACATGTAATGCAGTGACGTTGGTGGATAATGCGAGTTTTAGAAAGTTAGTTAATACCTTGGATTATAAATTTTCATTGCCTGCTTCTGCCAAAATTACTAGCCTACTTAATGAAGAATTTACTGTTTTAACGAGAAAATTTTGTGACTTCATATCTGAAGGCAGGCGCTTCACAATATGCCTTGAAGGCTGGACTAAAAAAGGTCTTACTGCGTCCTTTTTAGGAATTTCGGTTTGTTTTTTTCACTTCAAATCCGAAAAACCAATACATGCTCTGCTTAATTTGTATCTTGTGAAACATCCACATACAGGTGAACAAATTGCTAATTGTTTTGAAAAATGCCTAAAATATTGGAATATTTCCAGAGAAAAAATATTGCTTGTAATTTCGGACAATGGAGCAAACATGGTCAAAGGCATAAAGTTGTCGAGAATGAAAGCTCAAGCTGAACGTGATATACTTATTGAATTAGAAAGTGAGGTTAATGAAGAGCAGATAACAGATCTGGAAGACGATGAGAATATGACAAATAGTGAAGAGTGGGAACATGTTGACTTGATAGTTGATGTAATAGAAAACGTAGCATTTAGAAGATTGGGATGCATTGCACATGTTATACAGCTAGTTGTAAAACTTGCATATGATGGTAAATACCATGGCTTACTTTTGAAGGTACGTGGATTAGTGAGAAAAGTTCGCAAATCTTCTGTTGCATTGGAAAAAATTATCAACAAATGTGGTAAGACTGTGATCAGGGACTGTTCTACAAGATGGAACAGCACTTACTTTATGGTTCGGAGATTTCTGGAAATAAAGACATCTATCAACGAAGTGCTTGGAGACCTTAACATTGATTCACTTGCCAATAGCGAATGGATAATGCTTCAGGATTTTGTCAATCTTTTAGAACTTTTTGCCAATGAAACTGATATTCTTCAGACGGATGCACTTTCACTATCCAGTGTTATACCTTCAATACTTAATTTAGAATGTCACCTTGAGCAATTTGGAGATGCCAAAGATGTAGCAGTTAAAATGCTTGAAGATCTACGCCGTCGTTTTGCCGTTCTTTTGCAGCCAAACAATCCTAATTTTAATCCACTGCCATGTGCCGCATGTCTACTTGACCCCACATGTGCAATAGCTCTTTTAGGTAATGAGCATACACAAATCAGAGATTGTGCAAAGAAATATATTTTGTCAGAGGCTAAAAAATCGGTGCAACATGATTTACCTCTACTCTTTCTGTTGAGATTGCTCCAGAAATAAATGGATTAACAAAATGGAAATTTTTAGCGGCAAAACAGCGAGTAGAAAAAATAAAGCTTATTCCAGGTAATGAAGCACAAAATGAACTCAACAAATATTTTATTGAAATAAGGAACAGCTCTATGTGCCAAAATGCTTTAAATTTCTGGAAGATGAGACGTGCTGTTTACCCACATATTGCACCATTAGCTGAAGACCTAATTGCAGCTCCTGCAACTCAAGCATATGTTGAAAGACTTTTTTCAATCTGTGGCTTGCTCACAAATGGACGGAGAAATCGAATGTCAGCGTCATTGGAAATGCGAGTTTTCTTAAAACTAAATTCTCATCTAGTCTAGATGATAATCATATAATCACTAGGCCCTTTATTTGTAAAATATATGAGTAATTATTAAAGTCTATACAATAACTATTCATTAGTTTTTATTGTTACCAAATTTGAGGAGTTTTTTTTATACCTAATAATTGAAATTTTTTTAAGTTTTAGAGCAATAAGGACAGGTTGTTGTTGTGTTTTTTATTAAGGGCGGTGGGCGGGGCTCTAAACTTCTAGCCATGGGACTGGGTGTATTACATTTAATTAAGTTCTCATTTTTTTGTTTGTTTATAGAACTAAGACTTACTTCTTTTAATTATATATGCCTATATTATTTATAAATTATACTAAATTATAATTAGATGAGATAAAAAATTTATACGACAAACGAAAATTGAACTAAATAAAAACTAAAACTAAAATTATTTTAAGATGAACTGAATAAAAACTAGAACTAAATTTATTTACTGAACTGAATAAGAACTAGAACTAAAAACTTTGCCTCTAAACTGAATAAAAACTAAAACTAAAATTATTTTCCGAACAAAAATATCACTGCACTGTAGAGTGTAAATACTTCGACAGATTCAAATAAGCATAGACGCAGTAGCGTGTACCTGCACAGACTGAGGTATATCTACTGAGGGTTTAGGTTTGGGCAGGTATTCTTTAAGACAAAAGAAAAGTGTTTTAATATTTATTTAAATTGAGTTGATAAATTAATCTAATATATATATATAAAATTATAAAATTAAATTGAACAAGAATTTTAAGTGAAGTCGTCAAAGTAATTAATAATAACATTTGTTTAAATACGCGCGTATAACTAAGAAAATATACGCCCAAGAAAAAATTGTAGACGCATGTATGTCGGAAGAGTATCCATTTTACTTTGGGATCCGGTGTCGGTGTCACATTAATAAGTAGATCGTTAAATTAGACAAAATTATATTTTGCGCGTGTGTTAGTTTACGGATATATATATAACGTATTAAGTTACGTTAAATAAGTAGACAAATTAAAGTCAGGGCACTTTTTTTGTTAACCCAGACAAATAGATTAAAAAAAAAAAAAAAAAAAAAACGATAACCGAACTAAAAATTACTTGTCAAGCGAATTATAATTATTTTACGGCATTTTTATAGTAAAAATTTACTACTTTTAATAATATCTAAAAAAATATTTAACTCACAATATTTTTTTTTTTTTTATTTATTTTATTTTTTTCTCCAGGTATGCCATATAAAATATAAATTAATTACCGTGATAAAAAGGAATATATATACAAAATTATTACGAATCAGATTGATAAAAAATACGTTAATATAATATTTATACATTAATATAGTGTTGATGCAAACTTTAATATAAATTCTGGTATAATAACTATTATATATATATATATATATATATATATATATATATATATATATATATATATATATATATATATATATATATATATATATATATATATATATATATATATATTGTACTTTAATACCTAGAAAGAAAGGAAATCAAAGAAGATGCAGCATTTTTGGGTATAAAACTCCAAAAAAAAATATTTTCGCAGATTCCCTTAATAGTGCCATTTGGCGTATATCAATGTCTATATAAAAAATTAAGTAAACTTAGAAATAAATTTTTTTGTAATTAGCTTTGTAATAACTATTTCTACTGTTATATATATATATATATATATATATATATATATATATATATATATATATATATATATATATATATATATATATATATATATATATATACATACATACATATATACATATATATATATATACACACATACACATATATACATATATATGTATATATATATATATATATATATATATATATATATATATACATATATACACACATACATGCATATACATACACATACATATATACACATATATACACACATATACATACACACACACACACACATATATACATACACATACACACATATACACATAAATATTTTTTTATTATTTTTTTTATTATTTTTTTTTTACTTTTTATAATTTTTTTTTTTTTTAATTTATTATAATTATTTTTACAAACTAAGAATATGCAGC